TGCTGCTCTAAATTGTAATGAATATAATTCCATATTTGTCTCTCTCATTCTTCATTTCTCTTCTCCCCTTCTGGGCCTCCTGGCTCTGTTCGTTTGTTCGCTTTTATACATCTCTCTCCTTCTGAGACTTCAGTTCAAAGCTAGCAGTTATCTGCTCTGTTTCCCTTTAGTTAATCTCTGACCCTTCATAAATTAGATCTGACAAAGTCTCTTGATTAACAAAGGAAATGCACAAGTCACAGTAAAAGGGACACGCAGAAGTCAAATATAGTTGGGGATTCATCTATTCATCACACTACTTCTGTAAAGATCCAGGAGAAATGGGTGTAACTGGAAGTGTGTTCAGTCGTTACACAATACAAAACTAAACTTTCGTTGCAAGTATTACATTTCTTTAACAGAAATTCAGGAAATTATCTTCCTCTACATAGAATAAGTACTCAGGAAATTCTCGCTGGAATGGAAGCATGGCTGGGCTTTAGAGTAGGGCGGAATTCTGTTTGATTTGCCAGTTTGGAGAAAATTAAACATGAAGGGCGTGGCATCAGTCTGGAAGGGGCTCAATTTCCCCCGTTACCAAAATATTCCTGAAGCATAGAAACTGCGTGCATGTTTACATATGACCGAATAGTAGGCCCATCCAGGATGTCTCTTTAGACCAATTATTGGTAAAATAATTTACATTCAGGCTCTGACATTTGGCTTTGTCATTTATTTTTAAGCAATGGGTAAAATGTCTATGGGATAGTAAAGAGTTGATAACAACCTAAAATTACTACAGACATTAAAATCTAATAATTTTGACTCTAAAGAAGATTATTTTTCTTTACGCTGAACTACAGGACTGGAAGAGTCAGGAAGGAAGAGTTTCTGAAATATTTTGGCAGGGAGGTTACAGAATAAGATCTTTGCTTCACTCTGGGAAAACGAAAGTCACAAAGTTAAGAGATCAGTGGTTTGATATTTAAAATATGGGCTTAAACATATTTCCTGTTCAAAGAACTAAAATTTAGGGCATTCTAAATATTTGTGCCACTCTTCCTAGAAAATGTTTCTCTAGGGTATTTTCTTTAGAAGAGAGAGTCTTCTTTGGTTCTTATTGTGAAAATCCTGGAGAAGCTTGCAAACAGCAAAGCCAACAGGAAACGGAGTTCAATTTGTGCAAAGCTCAGGAAAGAAAAGCCAGTTTCTGAAAATGTGGCTCCCCCTGAAGACTCTAAAACAGAGCACGGAAAAGCAACGATAATAAAAAAGCTGGCAGAGGGATTGGTTAACGAGAATGTGCTGTGCCAGTGACCGCCTGGGTGCATCTTGAGTTTCTAGCCTTTATCCTACCTTTTCACACAAATTCTTCCCTAAAAATATGTCCCCACCCAAACACTCTTTTTCATGCTAGTTAAAACAAGTTCGGAATCAAGTGTGTAGAAATTCACTGAAAGTTATTTAGCCTAGACTAGCAGAAATCCAGGAGAATTTGAGTTCTAGGACATTTTAGACACACCTGAACTTGGGGAAGACTTGCCCTTTCCTACCTCAGATTTCCATGAACAGAAAGAGGGTAATACATTTTTCTATTTATCTCTTTGGCTAGATAAATTTCTCAGAGTGGGTGCGTTTGTTGTCAACACATTCTGAGGCATATGGATTTCTCCCCTTTGCCTCGGATCTGAGAGATGACCGGTTGGCTGAATGCTGATATCCATCCACTATATTGGCGCCGGAGTGGAGCCTCGTGGGTGGGAAGCTGGTGGAGACCTCACGGTAGGCTGAGCAAATTGCTAGGACATCACTCACACTGTGTGGATGACTGGAGATGCGAGGAGGCTTTCGGATTTGTGCTGCTGCTGCTGTGCAGACCCTGCGAAGACCTTCTGAGACTCCTGGGTAGGGTGATTGGGACAGGTGTCAGTAGCCATTTGACTTCAGATCACCTCGATGACCTTCACTGCAGTATCCAGTGTGCAGGGGAGGTCATGTGGGAATACTTGCCTCGGTAGCTCTAACCAACCTCAGTTCCAATATCTCTTTTGAGTTCACCTGCTCCACAATAAGATAACTAAGACTGCATTCCATCTCACCTGGCTGATGGCCCCTAACAGGGAGGCTATACATCGCCTGGAGAGAAAAAGAAGAAAGAACCATTTCTTACAGCCCCCACTTCCTGTATTTGGTGGGTGTCATATGGTTCTCTTGATGTTCATCAATTTATTGCCCATTTTCCTACATCTTATCAGTCAGAAAGTTTGTAGCACTAAGCCACGGGGCGACTAAGAAGAGCTGAGGGGACAAATGGAGCTGAAAACAGCCTGGTTCCACTTGCCCCATCCGAACATGGGGCCAAACCTGCCTGGAGGACAGAGTGTCTTTTCTTTGCACAGAGGTACCCCACAGTCCAGCAGCGGCATGGCCGAGGCATTTAGGGTTCCGTGAGACTGAGCACATCCGATTCTGCTGCAGAGGTGTTCAGATACATGCCGCCAAAGGCAAGCCTGCACGTTTGCGCTTTCCATCCCGTGGGCGTACACCGCAGACGGGGATCATTAGGATCCCTACAGCATTCCCCTTCTCAGTTTTCAAAGATCATGACATTATCAGCCACTTCTCCTGTTCTGTGAGGCTGGTAAAATGCCCGGCTTCCTTGGTGAGGTCACCAACCTGTTTGTCATCGCTGTGATTTTTACACAGTTTCTTTTACACAGTTTCTTTCAAATAGAGTATTAACCCTTCTCCTGAAAACACACTTCCCTTTGACGACTTTCTCTATAGATGATGGACCTACTGTTAAGGGGTTTCTGGGTTCAATTTTAACTCCTGAAGAAGATAAAAAATCAGAACTGCGAGTAGTATCTGGTGGTGATGGGTGTGCTGTGGCTTTCCCCAGCCATCCCGATTGAACAGAAACTGCATCCCTGTGCTGAAATAAGATTCTTTTCTGGCACTGTCTCCGCTGGGCCACACCCAAGGCGTGATGGTGATTTTGAATGTGCACTTTTACTCAAAGAAAAGCCTTAATATCAGCAAGCACATTGCTGCCGTAAATGCAATAGGAGACGTTTAGGAGATTCTGACTGAAGTGGAGGCATCATCAAGTTCATGGTGTTATAGAGTTTCCTTGCTCTTTCTCCTTTTAAATAGTTATTTATGAAGCACTTGACTAAGATGTTAATGGAGGGTACTGAAAGTGAAGACATAGTTTCTCCTCTTAAAAAGTTAATTTTCTAGCTGAGCAGCTGACCCCATCTCTCCCGAGAACACGAGAGCAGTGCCATTGGCGACCGCATTTGACACAGGGAAGCGTGTCAGCTCTGGGTTTTTCTGCAGTTTTTGAACCGTGAACAGAAAGCCATGTATAAACAGTGGAAATGGAACTAAGGGTACAGGCACATCTGTCAATGGGAAGTTTAAAGGCAGCATGTGACTGCCTTTATTGGAAGGTTTTCAGTGTGGCTTTACAAGATGCTTCCTTCATCCTTAATGATCGGAAATGCTGAAGCATCCAAAAGTGACTGACAGCTGAGAAACTGAGTTGGGGGTGTGTGTGTGTGGAGGAAGAGTGTGGGGGTTGGCGCTGGGCAGGGCAAGGTCTGAAGTTTACTTATTTCTCCACATTCTGAGCTGGGATTTGTAAAGTGTAAAGGCGAAGGCACACACCCAACTTTTAACAAAAGTGAACAAGGCTTTCTATTTGAGGAAACGGGATGACTAAATATTAGAATTCTTGGAAATAAGAACTTCCATTTATACATAGGAACCATGTGGAAGGTATCATGGTAAGTGCTCAGTAGTGACTACTATTCTTAGAACTCTGTTAGGGAGATACTTTATAAACTGTTTTACAGATGGGGAAACTGAACTTAAATCCAAGGTAATCCAAGGTAATGGGTCCAAAGCTCATTGTCTTAACATGTATCTGCCTCTTCAAATGAATTAATCTATTTATATGAGAAAGTGTGCTGTGCCCTCTTGTCTTGGATTTGTGGCCATTATTTGTATCTCTTGTCTCTTTTGCTGCCTGTTTTCTTGGGTACTTGTGTCCCTGGTACAGTTACCCCCTGAATTATCATCAATGCCTCGAATTATCTAGTTCCCAGGACTGGGCTTATGTTTTGATTCCTGTGTTCAGTGGACCTCTCCCTAAGGCTGAAATTGTGCCCTGAGCCCATTTAGGGCCCATGTCTCTTCCACTTAACAGGCCTGGGTGACACCTCATTGGGAGTCTAACTCATGTTGGAGAACTGAGAGATACCTATGTGTCTCAGAATCGTTGATACTGGCCATTGTCATGGAACTCTATCCAACGCTTTTATACTTCCCGTTAGCCAACCCAGCTCCCAGGGCCTTTTTAGGTGGGTCTGGAATTGTGGCTGCAGCATTTACAGTAATGGTACCCTAGGTATAAGCATCTGACTACTACAAGTCTTCTCTGTAGCTACACTGTGTGTTAACCAATGAAATACAAATTATTTGATTATAAACGACTTTCTTCATATTATAATTATATATGATTACATATGCATTAGAGATTTATGGATATGTAATTTTTAATGTGTATAAGTTTAACTATGACTTTCGTTTCAGAATAAAAGAGTGCTAAGAACTATTTGTGATGCAAAACCAGTTAAGACCAGTGGGGTGGAGAGGAGTAAATAAAGCTTTTAAAATAGACTTCAGTTCAGATTCTGGCTCAAAGTGAGAAATACGATTGGGATCAAATAACTTGAGTCTCAGTTTTTTTATAAAATGGAGAGAGTAATTATAACCTAATTCGAGGCTGTTATGAATATTAAATGTTAGTCTGTGTAAAGCTCTTTTGCATTTAGTAAATGCTGAAAACTATTATGATCATTATTAAAATGGGGATGATATATACCTCATAAGATTATAAATATTAAGCAAGATACTATGCAAAGTGTCTAGTTAACAGATGTCCAGTAATATCACATTTCATTGAATCCTAATTTCAGAATAAAATAGCAAAGCAGCAATTAAATATTCAGAACATGTTTTTAGCTCTTCTGTTTATTTCTCTCAGGACAGACACTTAGACATTAACTACGGTACTTAAAAGTCATTTCAATTAGGAATCTTTTTAGTCCTTCATCAATTATTTCAAGTGTTCTGGTCTCAAATACATCCCTTTCTTCTACAAACTTCTGAAAAAGATGAATGCCTCCACCTACACCAAAATAATGTGCTTTGCTGGCCAAAAGCACCCGCCCATTTTTATCTAACAAGCTATGGAGTGTTTGGTGCAAAGTACTATAATAATCTGGATTGTAAATAGTTTCTGAGGTGAGAATGAGATCATATTTCTCAAACAGTTTTTCACTGCTTAGTACAAGCTCACAAAACTCAGACCACTCTCCAGAAAAGAACCGGCATTTACATAGTTCTTGTGCTACTTTTGATTTCCTGCATCTTTTCACATCTGGTTCATTTCCACTATTTTCTTCATCTTCTAAACTGGAGTTAGCCACGACATTGGGTAAGGTTACTTCATCAATCACCATACTGTTATAATCTTGAAAGTGAATTTCTTTGGCCCCTCTTTTGAAAGCAATTATTCCCAGCAACCCTGATCCACAGCCAAGATCCAACACTTTTTTCCCAGCCAATTTCACTTTGGCCTTTGTGAAATAAGCCAGGAAGTCAAAGGTACATTCCCAGATTTTTAAGCCTCCTTCATAAACACCCGTAATAAGATCAGAGTGAGAGGAAAAACTTTTTGAGACTATGTTTTCTCCAGGGAAGTTCTCTTTCAACAAGATGGTTTTTACTACTGATATGTTCATGTGCTGGAGACCTGGTAACGTTTCTATGACTTTATTTTCTAACACTTTCTTTAAATCTTTAGGAATAGCGTGCTCTTTCGCGACTCTCAAGCAAGGCTGTTTTTCAGGAGGCTCCAAGTTACCTGAACTGCTAGCTGTGTCAAGTGAGTTGTCTGTGTCTTGAGAGGGAGCTGCATTTCCCACTGAATTATGTTCCCACGAGTGGTCCTGAGGCAAATCAAACTGTTCTGTAGAACGTTTTTTGTCCCTGTGTTTACCCTTTTGACTTTCTGAGACTGAAGATTCTTTTGAGGAATTCAGGGTCAAAGCTCCATCTTCAAGGGGTGTTAATTCATTTTCCACATGGTCTTCTATAGTGAAATTAAATTGAAACGTCATCCTCTCATTAAATGTACACAATCCTTCAATTCAAGGGAAGATTCCTCAGCTTCTGGAAAGAACTGATGACACACACATTCGCCTGTCTCAATTATTCAAGAAATTTCGTTCTGGTCAATTTCTCTTTCACCGTTTATACACAGTTACAAATGTTTTCAAATGACTTTTTAGAGGTCTTTCCATTCAATTTAGCTCTAGAGAAAAAAAAAGAAATAAAATTGCTATTAAAAAGCAAAATGACATTTTCTTAACAGAACTCCCCCTCCCCCCCCTTCCAATACAGCTGCTTTTTCTATAAAAGCTGTGATGGCGAGGGAGATAAAGAGTTTTGGAAACACACACACACACACACACTCCCTCCAGGGTTCAAAAGTTGGAGAAGAGAATGAAGTGTAAAAGCGCATAAAACAGCAGCAGTAGCAACAACTAGAAGAATCGTAAAGTCCAAAATTCCCGGGCAGGAAATGACAAGCCTAGGTACGTTGTGTCTTTCACCTGTCCTGACCCTGCCCAAACATATTTACCTGCTAAACTGCCAGAATCTCTTCACTTCAGTCTGTTCCTGTTTCAAGTAACAGGAATTCATGACTTTATTTGGGCATACGAGTCGCCCTTTACAAATCTTGCACGGGTGTGCTCCGGTGTCACTTCACCCAAATGTCCTCTCTGCACTCAGTGGAGACCAGTATAAGTGTACGTCGGTGGGGGTAATTTTGGGGTCATTAGTGAAGATTCATTTGGAAGCAGATCAAACACGAAATAAGGCAGAGCAAACACACACTCACTCACTCACTCACTCACTCGGCCCTGAACCGTTCGGCGAGGCCCCTGGAAAGTGGAAGCAACTTCATCGAGACTCTTCTCTGTACCTCCGGTGCAAGACACGTAATGTACCCCATCTGCTTCAATTCACACAACAGACCTGGCAGGTGGGGTCTTGCTCCCATTACGAAGATGTACGAAGAAGGGTCACGCAGCTAAGTGGATAGGAACCTGTCCCCTTCTACCTCGCGGTGCCGCGGGGCCTGGGGTCATTTCCTGCTGCAGGTCCCAGGTCAAACCCGACCACACCTGTGCAACCTCAAAGCCCCATGGGACGGAGGGTGGCAAATCTGGGGACATCCGGCCCTCACCTCCTCAAAGCGCTTCTCTGTAACGTTCACAGCCGCCCAGACGAGGGGATGCCCGCGGCGCGGAGAACCGGGGTCCGGCGGGATCTCCCAGGCAGCAAGCGCGCACCAGTGAGTCGAGTCCTCCACGGGCCAGACGGGCCCGGTGCGCTTCCTCTCTATGGTCCCGCAGCCGGCGGAGCGCTCGCAAGGCCCGCCGGGACGGCGGCGTTTCCGGCCCCGGCGGTGGCGGGAGTATTTGGAGTTGGTCCCCGGCCGAAAACATCATGTCTCAGGAGCGCGCGGTCCCGGCGAGCGCGGGGCCCCTGGAGGAGCTCAGTGGCTGGCCCGAGGAGCTGTGCCGCCGGGAGCTGCCGTCCGTGCTGCCGCGGCTCCTCATATCCTTCGCGGTCACTTGCGCTTGGAGGCGGGTGTGCAGCGGGTGTCGCGGGGTTCCTCCTCGGCCTCGTCGCAGCCCCCGCCGGCGCGTGCCTGCGGCCGGGACCCGCTCCTTCCTCCTTGGTGAGGGGCGGGGGGCGGCGGGAACCCGGGGTGCCGAGGGCCGACGCATGCCCGGCTTCGGCTCGCTCGGCGCTGGCGGAGGCGTTCTGCCCCTCGGTTGCCACCGTGGGTGCGGCGTCGTCTTGCGTTCCTGTGCCTTTGAGTGTTTCTGTGCTCGTTAAGTGCATTCGGCGTCAGCACCTTTGCGGGAGAAGCGGGGCGGCCGGGCCTCGGACGTGCGCCCCAAGGCGAGCCCTGACGCCGACAGCCGGTCGAGGTAGGAACGGAGCTGCAGTCGTATCAAACGCGGGTGGTGGGCGTGACGGTGCCTTCCCGCTGCCGAGAGAATTAATGGTTCTGCCGGGTGCCAGGTCTGTAAGAGACGTGCAGTGACAATGTTCTTCCCTCCCCCTTTCCCACATCTCCTTTATCGCGGCTGAGAAGGAGTCGCTAACTGGTTATTGGTTCCACCTGCTGGGTTTGAGTGAGGTGATGGACGCCTCCGTTGTCCAGGTGCAGGCCATTCTCTAGTCTCGAGCCCTCGTGGTTGTAAATGTGCCTGGAGTCCTAGCTTGTCATGATAGGTAATTTTTTTCTTTATGTCTTTGAGCTCATTCTTCACATAAAACTACACTTTTTGAAAAAGTGACCTTCACTTGAGAGCTCAGCGCTGCACAAATAATTTTTATAAAGTCAGGTACGGTTATGGCCGTCACATAGAAGCCGTTCGCCTAGGCATTAGCAAAATCCCTCGAGGTACCAAAGCCTTTTTGCAGTCGTTGTGCAGGTATGGAATTGCCCTCCCAAGGATTTTGACGTGGGAAACAAAATATCCTCAAAAACAAGTCCTAGGTCCCTAGTATGTATCAGGCAGAGCGATATAGGCTTTGGGGGAACAAAGATAAGGAATATGGTGGTGGTTCTTGCCCTCAGACTTCTAGGAGGACTTCAATAATTGAAAGTCAGTATTCCCATCTGGTTTTGCGTCTCAGACTTAACATCCAAAAGAACCCAAAGCTGTTCTCCCCTGCCCCGCACCCGTTTTCTTCATGTAAATACATGGTTTCACAAGCCGAAACCTTGAATCCTCTCTCATAGACAGTCAGTATGTTCTCATATCTGACTTCAAGCCGTATCTTGGATCCATCCTCTAGCTCTAGCTCCATCTCCAGTTGTTGCTACTCTGTTCCAAACCCCATAGCACCTGTCACCTGGACTGTTAGTAGTTTCCTTGCTTCTACTCATGTCCTCATTCTCCAAATAAAGTTCAAAGTGAAAAACAAATCACGTCATTTCCTATTTAAACTCCCTCCTCCCCCAGGGTCTCTTTATCGACTCAGGAATAAAATCCACACTTTCCTTCAAGGATTCCTGTGATCTAAGCCTTGCCCTTTTCTCCTGCTAGCTCACAACACTCTATCCACAAGTACACGGAGCTCACCTGCCTCAAGGTGTTCATGCTTGCGGGTCCCTCAGCCTAGCTTGTTCTCCTCCCGGCCTTTGGTACTTTCATTCAGATCTTAGCTCAATTGTCACCTCAGTTGGCCCTTTTCAGAGCCCTCAATTTTAGGTAGTTCCCCCAAACCCAGCCTGTAACACTTTTATCACATTGCTCTGTTCAGTTTGATCATCAACAGAAATTGTCTAGTTTGCTTTGTTCATGTTTCACTTTTCCTCACAACCGGGAAGTTCGTAAGGGCAGAAATTTGGTTTTCACTGTGTTACCCCAGCACCTCGAGTGTGCCTGGTGCATACTGCCCATTCCGAGGGCAAAAATACTGTTTTTTTAAATGCCTGGAAGGCTCATCAGATGATATTTCTTTTTAGCTTTTAGTAGTATTTTATCTTCAACAGTTCTCAACAAAGTGTGCAGTAAATCCAGCCTCATCAATGAAACAGTTATTTTCATGTTCTGCATCTTACATATTATTTTCCAGTCTTTACCTGCATGTCTTGAAAATCATAACTCATGTTTAATTTTGGAAGAGGCTAGAGTTTTTTTACTTGCGCTGAAATTTTTCTGTAAGGCAAATTCTATCCTACTGCACTCAAATGAGTTAATGACTATACCTCGTTTTGAACGCTGCTGCAAAAAGCACATATGCAATGGTAAGATTTCAGAAGAAAAATGAATTCTTCTATTAGTTCTGATGGGGTTACAAGGTTATTCACTTTTTCTTGTTGACACATTCTTTAATGATTTTTATATTGTTTTTACAGTATAACCTTTTTGACAGTTCTTGATATCCAGGTGTATAATTTATAACATGATTGCTGTTAGAATAATTTGTTGTCACGTGTTTTGCGAGGTCCTGCTATGTGCAGAAGAGTTTCAGTCTTAAAGTTTAAAAGGTATGCAAGTGAGGAAAAGATAGAAAGTGGTGAGTGACTTAAGACGGGTACAAATAAAGTACTCAGAAATGCTAAAGAGGGATAAATCGCTTTCCTGTATTAGAGACCAGAAACCCATGATTTATCCTCGCACTCTTTCGAATGTCCAAGTTATTTCATGCCCATACATAGCTTGAAAAGGCAGATTTGTCCCTGAGCAACTTTGAAAAGATTTCCTTCAAGTATTTCATAATACTGTTTGTTTACCTGATAAACATTAACTGTTTAAAAGCAAAATTAAGCCAGTAATTTGAATCTAATTTCAGTCTCTTAACGGATCATTGCTTAAACTTCAAGAAGGATCCTTTTTAAAATTTATTCTCACTAGTGAATATTCTGTTACTGTGAAACTAGTATCTTCCTTAATTATTTTACTCCATGTATCAACGTTCTGACAGCTGGATCGAGCATATTCGTAAGTAAAACTATCTTAATTGTGTGCTTTACTTCGATGTCATTAAGGTCTCATACTTATCTCAAGCTTCACATTCCCTTCAAATTGAATCTTTTCCTATTGTCGCGTTACAGCCTCTAACCTTCAGTTACTTAAAATGCCCAAATTCCTTCTCATTACAGTACTTAAAGTTTTAAATTCTGTTTTTGACAGACAGTAAACGTGTTCTGTTTAGTGATGTATGTATAAGCACATGTAAACTTTAAACTGTGGTTAGACTTATATAATTTGCAGCTTCTTAACTTTCATCCCCTAATGTGTTTAATATCATTTAGAAAATGCTTTCTAGATTACAAAAAACTGATCGTTTGATGACAAATTTGTCATTTGGAAAAGCTGACATTCTCATCTTCATCTGTCTTCAACTAGTATTTGATGTGATTTACTTAGGAGAGAAGGTAGAGGTTGAGACTGTAGGGTTTACATATATTTTGAGTTAAGTCGTCCTATTTACATTTCACTTGGTCATGGAATATAATTTTTTATATAATTTTGAATCTGTGGTGTTTGTTGGGGTCTAATTTTTTTAAGTAACAGAATTTTTTATCCTGAGTATGAATTATACATGTTCATTGTAGAAAATTTGAAACATGCAGAAAAACAGAAAACAGTAAAACATCCATTGATTTGAAATGGTTAAAATTTTGAGAGAGACCATTCTCATCTCATTTCTGTATACTCTTGCCAGACTCTCTGTTATTTTTTGTATGTACATGTTTATATTAAAATTGGTATACTATTTTGGGTCCTTTTTTGCTTAACCTTGAAGGACCATAAACATTTCTTCATGGTTTTAAATCTGTAATAATCATTTTAATGATTGCAGATCCTAATCAGTAAATATACCCACATCCATTAACTGGTCCTCAATTGCTGGATGCATTTTCCTTTTTTCTTTTCTTTTTTTTGCTATTATTTCAGTTACTTGATAGTTTCTCTACAAAGAAAGTAGAGTTTGAAACTACAGTGCTTTGTATTGGTAGTGCTTACATAGTCTCACATTGGGAAGAGCAGTGACCTTCGTTAGCTGACATGACTTAATATTCTTACAAAATGTGTTACTATTTTGTTTTATAGAAATTCTGAAAATTATTGTAGAAATGTTTTTACCTCATATGAACCACCTGACATTGGAACAGACTTTCTTTTCACAAGTGCTGCCAAAGGTATAGTACTATATACAGGTTATAAAGACTCTTAAAATCTACAGTTTTAGACCATTCTTAATTGTGGACCTTTTTTTTTTTAATATATCAAACATATTTGAAATACAAATAAAATAGCAAAAAATGGATCTCTCACATTGAGAATATGGTGGCGTTGGAGTAATCATTAGGTGATCAAAAACATTTTCAGATAGTATGGATCCTTCACTAATTCAGTTTAACTTATTTATAGTTAATTTAAAGTACTCTTGTATTTTAAAGATATTAAAACTTGGGATGGGTGATAAAGTTAGCAAGTCACTTTATATGTTTTCTCTGTAGAGTTTATTAATAATTGTTAAATTACATTATCTGGAAAAATGGACCCAAGATTTAATGAAGAAGTCATAGAATAAAAAAGGCTGGAATAGTGGTGAAATCAAGTGGTGAAATCAAGAAAAAACATTACATTTACAGACTACATTATTTTTTAGCTCTGTGGTCTGCTTTTTCTCTGAAAAGCAGTCTTTTGAGAGAAGTAAAGGTATTTTGGTGCCAAATTGAAACAGATTTATTTATGATAACTCATTCTCTTATTGGAATGTATTTCTTCAGAGTTTAGCTTTGAAGCAGATAATCCTCAGAATATCTTTTACTCATTCACTTGATTATTCTCTGTCGGAAAAGTTTCTTAGAATTGTTCTTGACCATCAGAAAAGAGTCCAGCTACTGTACGGATGAAAACAGTTCTGAGCATCGACAGGGCTATGGGAAACATTGTCCTCTAATTACCTTGTGTTGACTGCGTATTTATTCTTGTAATGTTTTGGGCATTTAAATTGTTTAGAAAGATCCTAGTAGTAAGATCTTAAGATGGCTAACTTTTCACAGACAAAAATACTTAGTGCCGAGGTCACATATACTGTACCTCTAACCCAGGAACTATATTTTGAGTTGGTTGAAAAGAGGAACTGGTTACAAGTGAATAGGCAATTCACAAATTCATTGCCACTACCAGAAATTACCCTTGTAAATGCCCATGTGAATGTTGACTGGTTAAAACTGTCATCTTTAAAGAGTAGCACTTAAGTTTGTTACATCACCAAAAAAACGAACTTGGATTGATTTTTTAATTGATGTTATTAAATAGGTTCAAACACAGAAATGAACATAAGTCTATTTCTGAGGGCTTATTCTTTTAAAAAATTGTATTATAGAATAACTTAATATTATGTATTTATATATTTTTAATATGTATAACATATATGTTTTTAGAACTTTAGGTGCAATCATTAGGGTAGACGATATCCCAAGGGTGTTAACTGATGCAAAATAAAAATCATCTGATTTTTTTAAAAAAGATTTCTGGTGATGTCTATTTCTATCTATAATCTGCTTTGTTTCACAGACTGTGAAATTATTTGATGACATGATGTATGAGTTAACCAGCCAAGCCAGAGAACTATCAAGCCAAAACATAGAAATCCAGACCAGTCTAAGGAATATTTTACAAGTAAGTGAGATGTATTAGAAAAAGAGGAACAATTTAAAAAACAGTGTGAGAATTTTAATACCGATACTAATTAGCCTTGTATTCTTTATGTAATGGTCCAATCCTGGAATTAAGTTTAGAAATAAAGATATGAATACAGAAACATAAATTCTGAATTTTTATATAATTTTTTGCTTAGTAAACATCTGAACTCTTAAAAGAAAATAAGTAATCAAGATAGCATGTACCACTTGTAATTTAAAGCCTACATGCAGAATGCCTGCCATGTTCTTGGGTGCGAATGGCTAGCCAGTTGTCCTAGTATTTGTAGTTCTCATAGACTGAAGTTTTATGAAAGTAGGAAGAGTGTCCATTTCGTTCACCGTTGTCTCCCTAGCACTGAGCATACTGTCTGATACTTTTTAGGCGCACAAAAAATTATGTATTCTGAATGAAATGTCTTTCCTTATTTCCAGACAATGGTGCAGGTCATCGGAGCTCTTACAGGATGTGTTCAGCATGTGTGTGCCACACAGGAATCCGTCATTCTCGAAAATATTCAGAGTCTCCCCTCCTCAGCCCTACATGTAATCAAAAGTACCTTTGTACACTGTAAGGTGAGTACTGGGTCTAAATATACTTTGAATGGGCTCAAATCCATGGACAAAGGGCCGAGTAAAAGAGTATTCGTGCTTAAGATTTTACGTTTTAGCCTGTATTATTGGAGTAGACTTTGCCATAGAACTAAGAGCATGTATGTAAATGTTTTTACAGAAGTAGTTATAAGGAAGTGATAAAAGGTGGGTTTTTGCCTTTTGTTTATTTGTTTTATCCTGTTTCCTCTCTATAACAAAAGAAGTGATATGGATTTGCGTCCAGTGACAGGGATCCGGAAATAGTTCTGCTATGACATTGGTGAATCAGATGAGTTCCTTAGTGATTAGATGCCCGTCAAGGGACGTTAATGTTAGTTAGTTCATCTCTGCATTCCTGAGGCAACTTTAAAGCACAAAAACTGGCCTAGGATTTGTGGGTCACCGGCAGTTTTGAAACTGCTATTTATTGGGAGAATGAAAATCCCTAGTTAGTTAATGCTTCTCTGGGGATAGGGTGCTACCATGCCATGCACCTGACCTAATGTTATTTATCACCCTTTCAGTTCTTTATTTGCAGGGTTTTGGAAGTCAGAAATTATTTGATACATGCTTGCGTTTCTTGACTTACACAATATATACTAGATGTTCACTAGACATTTGTTTAATGAATATGTGATTTAGTAAAAAGAATTAAATTTATGATCTCAGTATGAGTTAAAGTAAATTTGACGTTTGAGCTTTTTATGATTTGCTTTTTCTCTCATTTTATGAGCAGAATAGTGAATCGGTCTATTCTGGGCACTTACACCTCGTTTCAGACCTTCTGCAGGCCCTTTTCAAGGAGGCCTATTCTCTCCAAAAGCAGCTAATGGGACTGCTGGACATGGTGTGCGTGGGCCCTTTGGTAGACAGGAGTGATGGCATTTTGAATATGGTGATCGGTGAGTGCAGAAAACTTACTGCTTAGTATGTGATGTGCATGGACTATAAACTGTATGTCACACTGTATGCTATTGAACTTAACATTGTTTCTCATGGTCCATGATGTCTTACCAATTGTGCAGAAAAAAATCCTACCAGGTAAGCTTTTAATCTTTAAAATTTTAGAATGTAGGATTGTGACTTCATGCTTTAACATTAGATCTGTATATTCAGGTTATGTTGATGGTAGGTGATTTCCCCGCACTGATTAACACAGAGAGGTGAGCGGCGGTGTCCCCTCTGACGCAGTTCGGCGGGGAGGCAGTAGCTTTAGGAGTTTGAAACCATAACTCATAGTGAGCTGTGCAGTTCACATTCCTTCTCAGCACACGCAACTGCATGTGTATGTGAAGGACTGTGAATATGTGTGACACACCACATTTATTATACATGAAATTATACCCATGTTACATGTGTATTATTGACAGACTCTATCCGAGTCTATTTAAGTTTTGAAGAATTGGCATCACTCACTGAAGGGATGTGTCCCGAGTCTGAAAAGCGATACTCTGTAAGGGCAGAGATTGCGCTCATAAGTTCAGCATTGAGAGAGTAGGCTGGTTTTATGCGGTGTATGAGGCATCTTTTGCTCTGTAACCATCCCAAATCTATTGGATTAAAACGACCACTGTTTTATTTTCTTAGATTCTGTGAGTCAGCACTTTGGGCTGGGCTCAGCTGGGGCGGCTTTCTCTGTTTCATGTGGGGCAAGCGACTCACACCTGGCTGTTTGGAGAGGCAGAGGTACTGAGCCAGCCACGGGTAGCGCATCGTCTAGCCCTGGCTCAGTCACCCAATGGTGGCCTCGGGATTTCTAAGAGCAGCAGGAGAGGGCAAGCCCAGTACGCAAGCACTTCCTAAGTCTTCGCTGGCCTCACATTTATTATTGTCCTGCTGGACAAAGCGAGTCACATGGCTAAGCCCAGAGTTCATGTAGAGGGGGACTGGCCAACAGTATGGACACAGAAGAGGGAGTTACTGTGGCCATTTTTACAAATCACCTACCACAGATAGAGTAGAAGCCTTACATGAGTACAGTGCAAATTAGTTTTGGTTCTTCCTTGTTTGTTTTTTTTAGGTTCTTTTTGTCATTTTAGATTAGAATTATATCAGTAGAATATTTCAGTTATAATAAAGCACAACTTTATTCCACTAAACATTTTAGTTTTATTTAGATCATAGGATAAGTGTAAACTTCAGAAGTTGATTTCCATAATTTATAAATACCTTAAAAATCAAGTGTGACTTCTATTTTCAATAATTATTTTGACAATTTTTTTTTAAAACTGCATTACTACCTATTTTAACAAATGTCAAATTGTTAAATAGATACTTTTAAATTTAGGAGAAACTCATGACATTTGATGTTTTAAGAGTTCTGTTATCTTTCTTTGTAGTTATTCATTCATTGTTGGATATCTGCTCTGTTATTTCCAGTATGGACCACGCATTTCATGCCAATACTTGGAAATTTATAATTAAGTAAGTTTTTTTTTTATACTATTTGTAATATATTTTCCATATCCAAAATCTGAGTTATTCATAAGTGTTCTTAGATTGTATTTAAAACATTTTGTGTAGGTGTATCTGATGTTTCATGACCCTTCTCTCTGATAATCCAGATATCCTACATGTGGCTCCCAAACCAAACTGGGCTTCTTTATCCTTCTGCCTCTAAAATTAAAAGAAAAAGGTTATAACTAGTTAGTACTTCTGGAGTAATGGACCAAGGCCAGACCAAACCTTAACCACTTGCCTGTTGTTTAACTGACTTCCAGGTATCCAATATCCAGGCTTAGTAGTTACAGTTAGAGCTGAATATAATCCCTTCATTATACGTTTTTGAGTTGTTCAAGTTTAATTCCATCTATAAAGTACTTTGAACTGGAGCATTACGAAGGGCTTCTCGGGAGAGTGGCCACAGTGTTCATCAGATGATTATGCAGGAGGAGATGTAAAAATGGCCGAGAAGTTCTGCTTTACACACGCGCATGACACCTTAAAGGTCAGTGTGATGCTGTCAGGTCTTAGGTGCTTGTCTCACAGCGCCAGGTCAGTCAGTTGCCCACCAGTGACAGGAGGGGTTAAGGTCTCAACTCGGAGCCATACCCACGTGCTTGAGTCCATTCTGAGACAGCTGGCTCCTTGTGAGCCCTGGGCTTTTCTGGAACTTGGAGCAGTAATGGATACCTTCGTGGTGGGTTATGGTGAGAGTTGACTTTATCAGTGCGAAATGCCTAAAACTGCATGGCACAGCGAACGCTCAGCGAATTACCCTATCTCCGTTATCATCATTGGGTGTCTTCCCCACTTGTCCCCTTCCAATTCATTTTCTCCCCAGCACTCATTTTTTAAACATGTAAGTCAGGTCATGTCACTCCTTAAAATCCATCCTATTTTCTTCAGAGTAACAACCCAGCCCTCTCTGGGCTCTGCCATCCTCACCGGCCATCTCTGCTTGCTCTTAGTTCCTCAGACGTATTAAACCCCCCTGTCCCTGAGCCTCTTCGTGGCCTTTCTCTCTGCTAGGATGCTGCTGTCCCGGCCCCCACACTGGGGAAGCCCCCCGCGGGAGCATTCTCGGACAGCCGCACGCCCAGTAAGCTGGGTCAGCGTGCGCTCTGGTGGTGCCCCAGCCTTTGCCGGGCCGAGCATTTATCACAGCCTGAGTTAATTACCATTTACTGGTCCCTCTGATGCTGGACCACAGTTCCATGCGGAGGCACAGAGATGTGTCTTTTTATTTCTCTCTCTGTCCCCAGATCCTAGCAGAGTGACTGGCACATAGTAAGAGTTCAGTTAATGTTTTACATAGAGAAAAAATTAGCAACTTCAACTAACATGCCCGCTTCATAGGTAAAGTCAGCACATCTTAATTATGTCATGTCTAATATGTTTATGTTCTGATTTTTCACATGTTCCTTCAAGTCAGTTTTACATTCTAAGTTACATGCTATGTGACTTGCGGTGATTGTATTCTTTTTTTTTTACTCATTTAGGCAGAGCCTTAAGCACCAGTCGGTTATAAAGAGTCGGTTGAAACACAGAGATATCATCACTAGCTTGTGTGAAGACATTCTTGTCTCCTTCCAGTCTTGTCTGCAGTTAGCTGAGCAGATGACCCAGTCTGACGTGCAGGTAAATATGGTCTGACAACGCTTTAAATGGGCCGTCCTTTGGCAGTTACTGAATCTCGTTTGAATCTCTGGATAAGTTTACCTAGAAAGGTTTTAACTTCTTTCATTTGCTTTCTGTTTGTTTGTGTTTCAACCTTTGAGATTATTTTTGGCCCGTAATTACTTCTCACCCAGAACATTGCATGAGAATCCTGTCTGCTCCCATCCCTCTAGTCTGCCTGCTCATCGTCTGTACCTCCTCACTGGTCAGACAGGGCATTCTCCTCAGAACCCTTCTGTTCTCCCCTACCCTAACTCAAGGATCTGATTCCTCAGTCCTGTGTTTATTGGAGGTCTCTCGATACAGCCACAGCCAACCTCTTCTTCACCAATCTAATGCAGCCTGCAGGGATGCCACATACAACTTTGTGTGTGTGTCGTTCTTTTAAAATTGACATATGTTTACATTTATTTTGATTTCAGAGTTATAATGTTGAATTGGCATCCCATATAAGAAACATCGTATTCTAAAGTTTGTGTTATGCTTACTGGGGACTGTAGTTCATTTTCCTTTGACAATTTTATCCTTAGTGCCTTTGTCTCAGATTAGCTCTTTATAAATGATATTTAACTCATAAGGCCCTATGAGTGAAGGGTTTAGTGGTACTCGGGGCCTGACAGTTATATGTAATCATTGCCGTGGGAAACGAGTTAAGTATTTCTTCGTAGACTGACAGTGGCGCAGCTCTTCCTGTCGTGCCTTTGCAGGCTGATGAGGGGATGCTGTGCTGTGCACCGGTGTTCCTCCCTGCCGAGCATCCGTCCCCTGGGGCGGGGTGATCGGGAGGGACGGGCGCTGGTGGGGTGTGGGGCAGGGAGCGGCCAGGAGCTCTGCAGTAGGCGAGGCAGCCAAGCAGCTTTCGGAAGGGCCTGGCCTCCCTGTATTGCTTCTCTCTCTCCCCTTTTTTCTCCCGTCCTCACTTCCTGCGTATACCCTGGCTCCCCTCACCTCGCTGACAGGAGAGGCGGTTGGCTGGGTGTCCTGTGTCCATCCTCTCATCCTCAGCCCCATGCTCCTCTTCCCGGGGTCCTTCCTGCACACCATGACACCGCAGGCTCCCCAGCTGGTTCTGGGACAGTAAAAGACAGAGGGTCCTGGGCGGGAGTGACGTGTGGAGAGCCCTGACTTACAGGCAGAGTTTCATGTTTTTCCTTATTTGTGACTGTTTGGAACGGATACATTTGATCAGCGCTGCCCACTGTCCACTGCCTGGAATGGAGCTCTGACACGGTCTGTATAGTTTCTCCTTCCTTTTCCGATCAGCAACGCCCTCTGCTGGTCACTGTGGATATTTATCAAGGAATCAAAGTTAAAATTTTCCAAGTAGTGTTTTCACCTTGTTTTCAGAAACGTCTAAATAAAACCATAGATTTAATTAGTTGTATGCTCTTAGTGGGAGGATTATGGATAGATCAATCTCTGTATTTGTTTCCTGGGCTGCCGTAGCAAATTACCACACACGAGGTGGCTTAAAACGATAGACATTTATTCTCTCACAGTGTGGAGGAGAGTCTGAACTGTGTCAGCAGCGTGTTCGTCAGAGGCTCTGGGAGAGTCTGCTCCATGCCTCCTCCTCAGCCTCTGGGGTCGCTGGCGTTCCTTGTCTTGTGGCTGTGGAACGCCGACCTCTGCCTCTGTTGTCACGTGGCTCTCATCACGCTGCGTTCTCCCCTTGGGTCCTCACATTATCTAAGACACTAGTCAGTGCGTTAAGGGCACAGCCTGAACCAGTATGACCTCATCTTAACTAACACGTCTGCAGTGACCGCATTTCCAAATGAAGTCACATTCTTAGGTATTGGGGTTAGGACTTCAACGGATCTTTTTGGGAGCCACTGTTCAGTCCGTAACAGCTAATAACTGACAAGATGTTTATTCTTTTGTTAAGTCTTAAACTTGCTTTCAGAATGAGAATATTGTATTGGAAGTTTTACTATATAGTTTTCTAGCCACCAGTGATTTAGTTTTTCTATAAAGATAGGGAAATTTATTTGTTAGACTCTTTGATATAAATTTAGTTTCCACTGTAATTCTTACTTTTGTTTATATATTGCTAATAGAAATTTGTATTCTGAAAATAAACATATACGTTTATATCTTTTGCCTATACTTAGATTTCTTGCCTGTTGCAGTTAGTTTTTAATCAGTATTTTTCTTTTACTTAAAGAAGGGAAGAATGGATACTCAGTATTTTGAAACATTGAAAAATGATCTTCCTTGCTTCTCTCCCAGCCCCTTCTTTGTTGGCATTGGGATGCAAACTTTCTGTTTTGAACAGTTCAGTAATTCAAGATGAGGTAGTATTTGTGTTGTACATTTGATTTTTGAAAATGTCAAAATTAAAGCTCTAGATTTAATTGGTATCTATTTAGTAATGAAGGAAAACTAGAGTCTTAAGCCTGCTACAATTTCCCCTTGAATGCGAAAGAAGTTAAAGTAGGGAAGTATAAGCTGTGTGTCGCCATTCATTCATTTAACGAGTATTTCCAGAGTGCTTGCTTTGTGCCAGAAAGTGTACTAGGTGCTAAGTTCGTCACATTTTCTGCTCTCCAGAACTTACTGCTTATCTCGGGAGACAGATAAATTGATAATTATAGAATAGTGTCACCCATGGAGAACTGGGACTGTCTCATGGGGAGTAAGGGTAGAAACCCAGTCCTGAAGTCAGAGTTTCTTGCGATGTGACATCGAAGCTGAATAAAATTTCTGTTGAGTACATGTAAGATCAGTGTGGAGTCACCTCTAATCTCCATACTCGTGAACGTCCACAGAACTGTGTGAGTTCATGTTCATAACTGTCAAGGAAAGATGAAGTGTCATCTCACCTATTTCTGCTGAGGAGAATCGACTGTTTTCAAATATTTTTAATATTGGTTGAGATGAACAGTGATGTCTAATGAGTGGGTTATCCGATTATGTTTTGATTGGTTTAAAGTTTGCTATATTGTTGGAAAGAAATCATAGTCAATTAACGTTAAAGATTATATTTTATATGAAAAATTTAAAATTAAAGACAAGAATGTATCTATTTGATATAATTTTATAGTACTAATTTAGAGCTCTTTGGATTATGTATTACACATTTCGGTGACATAACTGGTATTTATTGAGCTAAGTTGCCTGTGTCAGACACTATTAAATTTCCAGTAACCTTAGTATAAGCCACACTGCAGCCTTTTAGAGAGGTTAAGTACCTTTCCCCAGATCACGTGGTACTTGTGGGCGGGCCAGGAGCTCAGTCCAGGCGGGGCGACTCCCCTGCATGCACGAGGCTATCTGGGCATTACTCGCCATTTTAAAAGCTTGCAAACAGTACACACTCAGAAAACCCTCACCCATTGCACAGATGTCTAACGTGGAGCGCGAAACCCTGCTTTCCTCTGATAGAACCGCAGGTAAGGTTTTTATTTATTTTTGAGGGGTTAGGGAGCAAATATTAACACATAACACATTTTAAAATAGTTATACATATCGTTTTGCAACTTGATTTTTTACTTTACCTTAGTGCTTACTGTGTCATGAAGATACTCTCTACTGGATGCATTAATAGATCAGTCCTATACAGTTTATGAATATTTCTTGAAATTTTTTAACCATTTTCCAGTTGATGGATACTTCGTTCATTTCAGTTTTCACTATATAAAAATGTTGCATTGCGTACCTGTGTTAGTCCTATAGAATATATTTTCAGAAGTGGAACTGCTACTGAGTTAAGGAATTTTAACATTTTACCTTGTGAGGATAATGCAAAGAGTGTGCTACGCACCCGTGAGTGGTAAAAGTCCCTGTCACTGCACCTCCACGTCAGCCCTCGGGGTGTGATCAGTTTTAAATCTTCCCTAATCAGTCAGCCCTCTCCTCTTCCCTTTCTAAACAAATGTAATCAGATTGTACTTCGTATTCTTTTCAATGTTAGTTTTTTGGCAGTTTGTACCTTCTGTCTTTTGCTTGTTTCCTATGTTATCCTTTTATTGGTTTGTGAGAACTTTTTCTTTTGCTCATCTACTGATCTGCCTATAGAAAAGAACAGTAAGGTATTTAAATTTCTTTCACTTTCAGATCAACCCAGGATGATCTCCTTTTTTTCCTTTATGAAGATTTGTTTTCACTAATGTGGAGTTTAATTTTTTGAAATATCTCTATTATCATCTGGTGTTTGTATTGCTCCTAACAAATCAGAGTAGAATATCTTTTCTCGGAAATTTTTACACTCTAAATGTTTATTAAGAGACCTTTTTAGAAAATACTGTGTCATTTACAAGTTTAGCTAATTTCATATTCTTATATATTATGCTTATTTTCTTTTTTCGAAACAGGATAATGCTGAATACAGATTATTTCAGAAAACACTGAAATTGTGTCGTTTCTTTGCCAACTCTCTTTTGCACTATACTAAGGTAAGGCTTATTTTTTTATAATGCATGCATGTGAACTCTCCAATAAATTATAAATTATTCTGTTTCATCATTCTTGCCAAAAACAGTCTTTTGAAGTTATTTTTCAAGAGTACATTCGTATTGCTAGTTGTTAAATATTGAGCATCTGGTGTATCACTTATGTTGCTGCCATCATCGTTATTTATTCAGTTACCTGAAAAAATTAATATGAAATTATTTAAGCATGGGTCAGTTTTCAGAAGATAATTCAACTTGCCTTCAAATACTGTGTGTAAGTTGATGGTACAATTTTTTAAATTAAGTTTTTAAAGTTTAAATATTCAAACCTTTAAAACTGTAATGTAAGAACTACATCTTTGTGAGTTAGCAGGAGAGCAGCAGTAGTTGAAGATGCACGAGTGTAAAGATAAGTTGCCAGGACAGGTAATCTGGAGAGACGAGCAGAGGATGCTTACAGCAGCTGATGAAAGAAGCATCATCAGCAATAGGCATTTAAAAGAAAAAGCTGTTGTCCGAGTGTATTTGTTTCTGACCCTGTCCTCCTCCTCTTCAAGGATGAGAGAGGGTCTCCAGAGTCTGTCGTAGCTGGAGCCTGGCGCACGGCAGACACCTGACTCACACGTACACAGACCCTGAGGCTGGCTCCTCACAGAAAGGACGTCCGCGTCCCTTCTGATCGTCATTCCTTTCCTCTGCTCACGTTGGAAACCATTCTTTTTCTAGTTCCTTTAGATACAAGGTTAAATTGTTCGAGGTTTTTCTTGTTTTGTGAGGCAGGCTTGTATTGCTGTCTCTCTCAGAACTGTTTTGCTTGTGTCTCATAGATTTTGGGCTGTTGTGTTTTCATTTTCTTTTGTCTCAAGCTATCTTTTGATTTCTTCCTTGACCTCCTTGTTAATTCATTTATTGTTTAGTAGCATTTATTTAGCCTCCTCATATTTGTGTATTTTCAGTTTTTTTCTGGTGAGTTTCATGCCATTGTGACTGGAAAAGATGCTCGGTATGATTTCAGTCTTGTTAAATTCATTGAGACATGTCGTGTGGCCTACCATGGTCTGTGTTGGAAAACGATGCCTGTGCACATGAAAAGATGGCATATTCTGCTGCTTTGGGGTGAAATGCTCTAAAAATGTCCATTAAGTCCATCGGATCTAATGTGTCATTAAAGGCCACTGTTTCCTTGTTGCTTTTCTGTCTGGATGGTCTGTCCATGGATGTTAATGAGGTATTAAAGTCCCCTACTCTGACTGCATTACTGTCGGGCTCTCCCTTTATGTCCATCAGTGTTCGCTTTATACGTTTAGATGTTCCTACGTTGGGTAGGTACATGTTTCAGAGTTATGTTCTCTTGTTGGGTTGACTTCTTTATCATTACGAAATGTCTTTGTCTCTTGTTATAGCTCTTGTTTTAATATCTGTTTTGTCTGATATAAGTGTTGCTACCCCAGCTTTTTGTTTTTTTCCATTTGCACGAAGTATCTTTTTTCGTGCCTTTACTTTCAGGATGTGTCTTTTGATTTGAAGTGGGTCTCTTGTAGGCAGCATATATATGGGTCTTTTAAAATCCATGCAGCCACCTGTGTCTTTTGAAAGACTCATTAGTCCATTGACACTTAAAGTCATTGATAGTTACATGGTTAATGTCATTTCATTGTCTTCTGATTGTTTTTGTAGTTCTTTTCTGTTCCTTGTTCTCTTACTTTCTAGTCTCGTGTCTTTCTTTGGTGTTATGTTTGATTTCCTTTCTCTTTATTTCTTGTATGTCTGTCATAGATTTTTAGTTTATGATTCCCATGGGCTTTATATATCCTTTGCTATGTTTATAGCAGTCTATTTGAAGTTGATGGTTCCTTAAGTTTGAAAACGTTCTAAAATCATTATTTTCACTCACCCCCTTCATGTTCGTTTTGTCATTTTGTGTGTGTGTGTGTGTGTCCCTTAATTTGTTGTCGTAATTACATATACTCTTCTTACTTTTGTCTTTTAGCTTTTGTACTAGCTTTATAGTTGGTCGATCTGCTTTTACTGTTTGTCTTTGTCAGTGAGATTTTTTTTTCCTATTTTTTTCATATTTTTGATCTTAAAGAAGTCCCTTTAACATTTTTTGTAATGCTGGTTTAGTGGTGATGAATTCCTTTAGCTTTTTCTTGTCTGGGAAACTCTTTCTCTCCTTTGAGGGTAAATCATAGCCTTGCCAGGTAGAGCAATTTTGGTTTTGGCCTTTGTCTTTCATCACTTTGAGTGTTTTCCCTTCTGGCCTGCAGTGTTTCTGTTGAGAAATTGACAGCCTTATGGGAGATCTCCCCACTCCTGTACGTAACTAACTGCTTTTCTCTTGCTGCTTTTAAGGTTTGCTCTTTGCCTTTAACCTTTGGCATTTTAATGATGCTGTGTCTTGGCGTGGCTGGGCCCTTTGGGTTCATGTTTCTTGGGACTCTGCTTCCTGGACTTGTGTGTCTATTTCCTTTGCCAAGTTAGGGGACTTTTCAGTCATTTCTTCAGATAGGTTCTCAGTCTCTTGCTCTCTCTCTTCTCCTTCTGGTACTCCTGTGATGCCAGTGTTGGTATGCTTGATGTTGCCTCAGAGGCCCCTTAAACCATCCTTATTTTTTTAAAATTCTTTTTTCTCTTTGCTGCTCCAAATGGGTGTTTTCTGCTTATTTTGCCTTCCAAATTGTTTATCTGATCCTCTGCTTCATCTAATCTGTTGTTGATTTCATCTAATGTATTCTTCATTTTAGATGTTGTATTCCTCATTTCCGAATGATTTTTTTCTTAGGGTTTCTGTCTGTCGACGTTCTCACTGAGTTCACCTGTTCTGCTAAGTTCGTTTTGCATCCTTATCAGTGTCTTGAACTGTGCATCTGGTAGATTGCTCGTTTCTGTTTTGTTCAGTACTTGTTCTGGAATTTTGTCCTGTTCTTTCATGGGTTGTTTTTTTCCCTCTTCCTTTTGGCTGCCTCCCTGTGTGTGTTTGTACGTTTTAGGTGGATGTGCTACATCTCTCATTCTTGGCAGAGAAGCTTCTATAGTAGGTGTCTGTGGAGCCCCATGTCACAGTGTCCCTGATCACCTGAGCCAGGTGCTCCAGGAGTATTTCTGGTGTGGGTTGTGTGTGCCCCTCTGTTGTAGTTGAGCCTCGATTACTGTCGACACTTTGGTGGGTGGGATAGACCCTTAGGCTGACTCGACGTGAGGGCTGGCCGTGACCTCAGAGGATGAGCTGTTCTGTGGGTGCTGCCCCCACGGAGCAGATGTTACTTTAGCAGCGCTGAGTTTGCCCTTTAGGTATGTCGTTTGTGGAGCTGGTTAGTTGGTGCTCTGGTGTGGTCTCAAGCCAGCCACCATGTATGCTGGTCCTGGAATCTTTTTGGACAGGCCCTGGTGCAGGTCATGGTCAGCCAGCACTTGTGCCCAGCTTGGTGCCATCTTTTAGGAGCTACAGAGTAACCTGTGCTGGGCTTAGAAGTGCTTGGAGAAGGCTGTGCTGCTAACCGAGGCTGGATGCCACTCGTGCCAGGCTTGGAACCCTTTGCTGGGTACCACGATGGAGGCTGAGGCCAGCTGCCCCTTGTGCTGGGCCTGTGGCCACTTAGTTGAGGCTGTGTTCCAAGTCAAGACTGGCTGTTACGTATGCCATGTATGCCAGGTTTGAGGCTACCTGATGGGAGTTACAATGCAAGCTGTGACAGGTCGATGCTTTTGCCAGGCTTGGGATAGCATAGCAAGAGGTATAGTGCGCATCGAGGCCGGCCGCTGCTTGTTTGGGTTCGTGGACCATTGAGAGACTTAGGAAAGTGAGCAGTGTGAGCTGAGGTAGGCTGCTTGTGGGGAGGAGCCGCTGAAAG